CCTTTCCATTCTCAAGTCGAACAGCCTGGTTAGGGTCATTCCGTTCCATTCTCAAGTCGAACAGCCTGGTTAGGGCCATTCCTTTTCATTCTCAATGTTAGCGCCCGAGGAGGTGGGCCTCGAGGTTACGGATCTCATTCCTGTCTTGGACGTTAGAAGGTGGTCATCTCGTCTTTTGCGTGTTGTTCTCTTTCTTCCATTTCTCACAGTAATGTACCATCCATTCCATTTCTCACAGTAATGTACTATCCATGCATACATCCGACTTAGCATCTAGCACTCGAGTTGGGGCTCGCGACCCCAAGCAGCACTAGCTCACCTGGTCGTTCAACCACAACAAGAGACGGGGGCGCCCCCTTTTTTCTTCACTCGTTCCGAGAAGTCAGAGCTTGACCATTCTTAGACTAATTCATGACTCAGTTGGATTAGGCTCCTAGGGAAGGATTGTTCTTCACGCCCCTTAACCCATAGGTTCCCTAACCTCTCTTGTACTCAACCAATCATTCAATGTCATGGTTCGCTTGTCAATTCGTACTCAAGGTTTTCCCCTCCGAAAAGCATAATCCTTATTCCATCCAGAATTCACAATACACCCTCTCCCAATTGGTCTCATCCCAAATCCCATGTCTTTGTCTTATGTACCCAAGGTACTTCATCCAAAAAGTAGCCTCAAAACTATCTTCTATCTTATCGTGACACAGCCTTAGCTGACCCTCTTTTCACTTCATCCTTAGCAAGCTTGCCCATACTGTACACGTTTTCGTCATTCTCATGTCTCTGCAGACAGAAAGCAGCTATCCTTTTCAATGCTAAGTCAACACCTAGTTCTTATTGCTGCCTTGCGCCTCGTCTTGTTCAGTTCCTTGTCCACCTTGTTCCTCAACAAGCTTCTTAATCCCCAGGCCGTAGGTCTCGATTTCTCTTTTCATTCTTACAATTTTCCGTAACTCTGCCTCGTTAAAAAAATCCAGTGGTTTGGCTTCCACCCCTGCCCTTTCGAGTTCCCGAGTCTTGATAATCCATTCGTGCCTTATCACATTGGTCCATTGCTGAAACCAATGACTGGGCGTTGGCCCAAACTCGTCCTCTCATCTGAAAGCCCCGTCGCCCGGCTGGTGCATCGGAGGCCGCCCTTCTTCCCTAGGCCTCGAGATCTCATCCCTCTCATCCCCGCTGCTGATTTCTATGACTTCTCGCACATCCTCTTCCTTGTTCTCATCGTCTTTTGTCTGTATGGGGCGATATCCTCCCGCAAGGTTCTTTGGATTGTAGGTAAAAGGAATCTCTGTCCCCGTCTCATACCCCTCACAACTATCGTGGCCGCTTCGTCCTTCAAGCGGCCTCTCCCTTCTTTCCTCACCCTCCTCATATTCGTCGCGTATGTCTTGTCCCCCCTCGCTTTCCCCATGCCAAGTCTCACGTCGCTTGCCCCTGTTGACTCCTTCCTCGTCAGAGACCTGAACCTTGTTTCCCATCTTTGTATTGCCTCCCCCTTCCTCTTCTGCCTTTTCCTTCCCTCCCTCACTGTCAGACAAAACTTTTATACCTTCTCCCTCGCGGAGGGGTGAGGGTTTCCTACACAAGCATTTCCTTCCTCCCCTGCCTACCACTGGGCCACCCATGAGTCCTATATACAACTTTATCTTTGCCGCTCTCCTCCTTTGGCTTGGTCCTGCTTCCTCCCCTCCGGTAGGGCTGTTGATTGCCCCGCTGTCATTTTTGTCACCGAACTCCATCTTCTCTTTTCTTTTAGACCCCGTATAACAAAACAACACCCGCAAAACCCCTCATGCACCCATTCCCCCAGTCTGGTAGGTAGTTCCCCCCTTTTTCCCAGAATGCTCCCAACATCCTTCGCAGCATGCGAATGCGTCGTTTGTGATGACCCCATTTTTTCCCGGTAAAAACTATGGTACAATGCCCCAAACATCCCTTCCCGTTGTCACACAAGCCAGATATTGCAAACCCCCGAGTCACGCTGCCTTTCAACCTCAGTCAGTCCAAGCCAAAGCGTCAGTCCCCCCCCCAAAAATGGCAGTCCCATGAACATGGTCAGAGACAAACCATAGTGTGGACAAGGCTGTGGTCAGTCTTTAGCTTGTGGCTCCTCAGTTTCCTTATCTTCGGCCTCCTGAAGCCATTCTTCCACTGGGTTCCGACTTAGAAATCGGACCAATCGTTGCCCCGGGAAGGACCCTTTTAATCTAGCTCCATCAAAATCTTCCAGTTCGAAGGTGTTCAGTCCCACCCGCTTGGCGACCCGGTAGGGGCCTTTGAACCTCCTTCCCAGCTGTCCCCAAGTACCTTCTAGTGCCGAGTTTCTTAGCAAAAATACCATCTCTCCCACTTGAAGTGGCTCCTTTCTGACATTCTTAACCTGGTCCCACCTTGTTTTGTTCCTCATTCTACTGTCTGGTACCTGGTTGGCGATGTCTTCCATGACCTTCTCATTCTTAAGGATTTGTGGACATCTTGCCTCGATTAACTCTTCAGTGGTCATTTGTGAATCTTCATCTAACCTATTCCAGGTAGGTACCAAGGCTTCCACAGGAAAGTTGATCTCTCTTCCGTACCAGAGCTCTGCCGGGAGACATCCTGTTGTCCTTTTAGGGGTCATATTCTCTGCAAAGACAATCTGCTTCCTAGGCCAGTTCCCCAGATGGTCCGCTGCGAGCTTTGCAATCGTGCTCTTCAAGGTTCGGTGCTTCCTTTCCACAGGTGCATTGGCCTCAGGGTGATACGGGTCGATGAGTTTGATCGGTACGCAGAGTCTCTTAAGAATCGCTAATACTTCTTGGTTCACAAACTCCGTCTCATTGTCTGCTATAAACCTCCTGACGAACGAATGCCTCAAGTAGAAGTCTTCTATCCAGTCCGCCACACTCCTCCCAGTCTTTTGTCTTGAGGGCGACCGCCTCCACGAACCCACTTAAGTTGTCTCGCGTATCAGGATATACCTATACCCATCCGTTGATACAGGCATGACCGCTAGGTCGAGGTGGACCAGATGTCCCGGCCCTAGCACCCGCGTTAGTCTAAGCGGCTCGAAGACCCGTACGGAGCTTCGTTCTTGGCAAATAAGGCAAGTCTGGCAGTAGATGGCGATCATGCCTGCCATGCCTGACCAATAACAGAGTGGCATCATCTTTGCAAGCGTTCCTTTGGATGACCGATGACCTCCAGCCAACCCATCGTGCATTGCCTGGATAACATCTACTTGCCTAGATCTTCCGCATACAACCCTTCTGTGCATAGCACCTTCCTCCCTTCGGAACAAATGTCCGCCCCTTATGACGTACCTTTCGGCTTCTTCTCTTGCTTTAATACTGACTTCCGTAGGTTGTTTGTTTCCTACCAATAACAGCCCGATCTCCCGAAAGAGCCCTTCGTATGATTGGACATAGAAAAACTTCTCTCCTTCCTTGCCCCCATCCTTTCCTTCCTGCATCTGGTTTACCACCCATTGCCACTTTTTCCTTTCCTAAGATTCCACCAAGCTCATCACTGCTTCCCGTCCTCCCTCGACTGCCATTGCTATCATTTCCTCTTTTGACCCTACTATCGCTCCCCATGAGTCCTTTGCCTCGCTGCGTCCTCGAGTGGTGACTGGTCCTTCTCTAAGTTCCGCTACTACGGCAGGTGCCCCCTTCTCCAAAGTCTGGATCAATAGTTCTCCCGACGTGCATTCTTCGCTCATCCTTTTGTTATCCACCTCAAGAGTTCCTCCTTCGTATTCGAGGAACGCGTCTATGGGCTCCGCATCCTTCACCCCTTCGGGAGTGATGCAGACCCGGCTCAGCCCATCAGCCTTGTTCCTAATTCCCGCAATCCGTTCGATCTTATAATCGAACTGCCAGATAAATCCTACCCATCTCCCCACTATCGGATCTATAGGCCTGTAATTCTTTAAGGCCCCTGCAACATTCGTCGGATCGATCCTGAGGATGAACCGCCTCCCAAATAGGCAGGCCTGAAAAGTCTTAAGACAGTGCAAGATGGCTAGGACCTCCTTCTTGAACTGTGAGTATCGCCGTTCTGCGGAGTTCAGGGTTCTACTTTCGAACCTAATCGGCCTCTCTTTTCCTCCCTCATCCCTTTGAATCAACACACCTCCTACGGCCAAAGGTCCTTCATCCGTCTCTAGGATGAAGGGTTGTCCCACTTCGTCATTAAAACAAGGCGCGGACAGGGCGACTGTCTCGGATGTCAATATGTCCTTGAGCCTTTGGACAACTCCTTCTCGCTCCTTCGTCCAATCCATGGTTCCTTCTTCCCTAATCATAGCCCGAATAGGCACAACTATCTTGGCAAAGTTCTTAATGAAGATGCTCCAAAAGCCGACTACGCCTAGGAATGCCGTTACCTCCGTCGTCGTGCGCAGTGGTGTCGGCCACAGTGATATCTTGTCGGTCTTTGTCGGATCCGGCTTCCTGCCGTAAGCACCGCAACGAAATCCTAGTATAGTTACCTCCGGTACTGCTAGGATACTCTTTGGTCCACTAGCCGTAATGTTGTATACTAGGAACCGGCGGAGTAAGTCCTTGATGTCCTGCAGGTGGTCCTACACAAAACGTCGGATCCCTGGCTGGACTTCCGTCTCGTCCTTCTCCTGCGCGCCTTTGATCGGATTGTCATCGATGTAAGGCTCACATTTTTCTAGGAACATGTCCCCGACCACCGCGAGCATCCTGCGTTGCGCTTCGGCCACCGCGTTTGTGAATCCCATAGGGGTCACTTGCATCTGTAGCTGGCCTACGGGGGTGTGCATAGCGGCGTATGGCCTGTCTCGAACATCCAATGGAAGTTGGTCATACCCTGAGTGCAGATCTATCAGGGAGTAAATGCTCCGACTGGCGTGCGATTCTGCTAATAAGTCAGCCTGAGGTAGTGAGCCAGCATCCCGGATGGTTACCGCATTCAACTTCTGCAGGTCCTGAATCCACCTTAGTGTCTTGTTAGGTTTCCGGAAGACGAACCACCGGTTTGCGTATGGCGACGCCGTAGGCTCCGCAACGAAGGAGTCAATTTTCGCTCGGAGGAGGTCTGTTACTTCTCCTGCTATCTCAAATTCATAGGACGGCCCCTTGTCATTCCAGCATTCACGTTCTACCGTGTGGATTCTGACCGGAGGGATCAGCTTCGCATTCAGTCGTCCCTTCTGGTGATCACTAAAGGCAAATGTCAGGTGAAACTTCTGGCAGGTCCTTTTGATCAGGCGGGTTTCTTCTTCCGTTAAGAACCCGTCTATCCCTATCTTCATTGTGTCAACTACCTCATCTGGTATCCGATGTCCCTCCATCGCCCTTCTTTCTCGGATCACTCGAAGGACCCCTTCCTCCTTCTCCATAGCCTCTTCCTTTGATGTCTCTAATAGGATCGAGACCGGTTTCGCTTTCTTCCCTACCGGCTTGTATTTTCGAAAACTTCCTTCGGGGATCTTTCTCCTAAAAAATGAACGGTCGGAATCGCCCTCGTCGCCTCCACGACTCGCGGTTGAATACTAACTAGCTTCCCATTCTGGCAATATCCCCTTTGCACCTCTCCTTCGAACTTGGCCAAGGCTGCTGAGTCTACTCCTACCTTGTGGTATCTAAGGGCCTTGATATGTTGTAATAGGTCGGGGATCTCTAGTGCGACTTCTAGCACGTCTGGGCGTACTTCTTTCCGCTCGGGCAGGCTAGCACCAAGTTCGACCTCTGACCCCTTTTCTGCTACCATAACGCCGAGGACTTCGTCCTCCTGCCTCCTCTTCTTCTAGGGCAGGCCCATCTTGATCCACTCCTTCTTGTTGAATGCTTCCTCAATCATGATTTTTACCCTTTCTTTCATACCCTCCATCCGTGCGAAAGCCCCTTTTCGGGTGCTATCCTCGACCGGCGACCATGTTGCCAATTTTCCCTTCGGGGGTTCTCCTCCTGTTCCAAGGAGTCGGAGGAGCTCTCCCCGACCGGTCACGGGGTCCTCTATCTCTACCATGTATAAGCCATCGTGCAAGTGCATGCCTATCATCTCCACGTTCGTGCACCACGGTCTCCCGAGGATTATGTCGTGGTCCATTTCCTCCATTACGGTCATCCGCTGAAACGACCAGATCGATTCCCTGACCCCTGCCTTTACAGCACACTTCGTGACGTACCCAGCGAACGGGATTTCCCCGCCAGCTCCCCGGATGCTCCCGGTTACTTCCTTGTTTACCGTACATTCTGTGATCGTTGCGAAATCTCTTCTTATGAGAGTGGTTTCTGCTCCCCGGTCTACTAATGCGTCGGTATGATGACTCCCGATCTGGATTTTCAGTTTCCCTACGGGCAGTGCATGAAAGCTAAGCTTCGTCCCGGGTGGTGATCTCATGACTTCGCCGCCCTCTCGGTCGGGCAAGCTCAAACGAATGTCTGCAAAGGCTTTTTCGAGATCCTCCAAGTCCCCGTGACTCCTCTGAAGGTTAGCCACTTCTTGCGGAGCTTCCTCCTCCCTCTCCCCTTCTGGTAATTCGGGGTTGTCGCCTATTTCTACTCGCCCCCGAGTCAACAGTTGTCTGAGCCTTTTGAGCAACCTAGGGCTATCCTGCAGCATGGTCTGAAAAGACACCGACACCATGGTTCCTAGTAACTTGCTAATGGTGTCGTCGA